CCCGTCTCGGCCTCCCACAGTGCTGGGATTACAGGCTTGAGCCACCGCGCCCGGCCAAACTTAATACTTTTTAAAGCATGATTTGAATATCTTCAGAGTTGTAATTTGCTTAGGATATTTTTGGACAAATAAATTCTTTTCATTTTTTTAAATACCAGATTTTGAAAATTGAAAAATATATATACACACACACACACACACACATATATATATATATATATATATGTATTTTTTTCTTTTTTGAGATGGAGTCTCGCTCTGTCACCCAGGCTGGAGTGCAGTGGCGCTATCTCAGCTCACTGCAAGCTCCCCCGCCCAGGTTCCTGCCATTCTCCTACCTCAGCCTCCCAGGTAGCTGGGACTACAGGCACTCGCCACCACGCCCGCCTAATTTTTTGTATTTTTAGTAGAGATGGGGTTTCACTGTGTTAGCCAGGATGGTCTCGATCTCCTGACCTCGTGATCCGCCCGTCTCGGCCTCCCAAAGTGCTGGGATTACAGGCGTGAGCTACCGCGCCCGGCCAAAATTATTTGTTTTAAAAAGATCACACTTTTGTATAAAAAAAATCTTGAGAGACTAGGAAGCTTTTTATTTGCAATAGTTCATGTATGAAATTTGAATGCCGAAAACTAATTTCCTTAGCATTCACTTTTTAATTTTTTTAATTTTTCTTTATTTTTAAATTTTCTATAGTTATTGGGTTTCCTTTTTAATCTTTTCATAAGTTGCATTCACTTTTTAAAAGACAATGAGATTTGTTTTAGCATAAACAGGAAATTCATGGCTAATACATGTCACGACTTAAATTCACCTCTAACAACAAATGCATGTCAAACACATAAAATTATATTTTCCACCTATGAGCACAGTTTCATGGGAGTTTTGATTTTTTGAAAATATTTTTTGATGCAATATCCATTTTTTCTGTGTAATTTTGTGCTTTGTGATATTGTGGGTATTCATGATGCAGAATTTATTTTAAAAACTTATTTCTGTAATATTTATTTCTCCCTTTTTTTGAGACAGTGTCTCACTGTTGCCCAGACTGGAGTGTAGTGGCACAGTCTCAACTCATTGCCACCTCAACCTTCTGGGCTCATGTGATCCTCCTACCTCAGCCTCCTCAGTTGCTGGGACCACAGGCATGTGCTATCACACCTGGATAATTTTTTTATTTATATTTTTTGTAGAGATGGGGTCTCACTACATTGCCTAGGCTGGTATCAAACTCCTGGGCTCAAGCAATCTTTCTGCCTTTTTTTTTTCTTAAAAGAATTGTTAACATACCAGATAATTTTTTTACAGTTTTTGCCACTTTTTCTGTGTCCTGCCTTTTAAAGGCAGACTTTTTAAACTATTGCTAAGGACTTGAACTCTTTCTTCCAAATCACTGGTACCCAATATGCAGGTTTTGGTACCTCTTTTTGCTCTGAAATTTCTTGGATCTCTTCAGAGGGATTTAACAAATTTCCTGTCCTTTTTCTTTTTCTGGTTTTGTTTTGTTGAGATGGAATATTGCTTTGTCGCCCAGGCTGGAGTACAGTGGTGCAATCTCGGCTCACTGTAACCTCCACCTCCTGGGTTTAAGCAATTCTCCATGCCTCAGCCTCCACAAGTAGCTTGGATTACAGGCATGCACCACCACACCCAGCAAATTTTTTGTATTTTTAGTAGCGATAGGGTTTCACCATGTTGGCCAGGCTGATCTCAAACTCCTGACCTCAATTGATCTGCTTGCCTTAGCCTCCCAAAGTACTGGGATTACAGCATGAATCACTTAGCCCCCTGTCCTTAGAAACATTGAGGTATCATAGAAAATTCTTTTGGGCACATCACAGCAACAAAAGTTAACCCAGCTTTACCTATTTGTGAGTATCTTAAGTCTCCCAAAGCATTTGATTGTTGCTTTCCAAAAAAATACAGAATTGTGGTCATTCTCCCACGACTGTTCTTTACTAATATTGATTGCATCTGCTGCTCTATCCCCTTTCTGCATTCATAGTAACTTCTTTTTCCAATGCTGAAGATTAATCTGGGAGAGTTCTTTTAAAAAAAACTTTTTTTTCTGAAGCATAATACATAATAGTACATAAAGGCATGCAGCTTTATGAATTTCTCCAAATAGAACACACTTAACCAGCTCCCAGATTATGAGAGCCAAATTAATACTTTTACTACTTTTACAATGTTCCCAGACTCATCTTTTAACCGTCTTCCTCCTTTCTTGTGCTATTGTTGTGCTATTTAGTTTGATGTGTATTTTATAATCCACCAGATACTCTTACGTAAAGTCAATATTTCTATCAGAGTTGACAAACTTTGAAGGTCCAGAGAGTAAATATTCTAGATTTTGCAGGCCATATATGGTCACTGTTGCATATTCTTATTTTTCTAAGCAGCTTTTTAAAGATGTTAAAATCATTCTTAGCTTAAAGGCCTTGATTTGGTCCATAGACCATAATTTCCCAACACCTGACTTGTATTTATAAACATATTTACCCCTCCAGTGTTACTTCTTTCTTTAAGCATTTCCAAGTTTCTAAGATTTCATACTGCCTGAAAAACTAGTATTTCTTTCAGCATAAGCATGCTGCCATGTTTCCTCCATTGTTTTTATTCCGAAACATTTTTACTTCTGAAGGACATTTTAGCTCAGTATGAAAACAGAAGTTAGCAGTTTTTCACAGTGTACATGTGCGCCCCCTGCCCCCCGCTGCAATAGTCTTTCTTAAAGGGACCTGCCTCTCCCTCAGTTGAGAATATGTAAGACTGTGAACTGGCTTCAACTGTATGTCAGATAGTACATTTGTGGCCTATCCATTTATTTCTAGGAACCCCATGATCATTTAGTCATTGCCACCCATATGGTTAAAATTCTCATTACCAGTGCATCCCCTGGACTCTGGTGCGATTTTACCCAACCCCTCCCATGCCAAGATCCCATGATCTCTACTGAAATTGGGATCTTACTTTCATTACAGAAGTTCTGCATCATCTACAGTCTAGAGAGGGTAGGTACCACACAGTTGTCCAAGGATAGCGGTACAATGTATTTCTTAATACCCTGACGGGAGCGTCTTTTGGCCTTTCTCTGGCTAAGGGAACAACATGAACATAGTAATTCATTCTAATATTTACATCTCCTTCTAAATCAGGGGTATCCAATCTTTGGCTTCCCTGGGCTACACCAGAAGAATTTTCTTGAGCCACAGTAACTGATAGCTGTCATTAGTGTTCATGTATTTTATATGTGGCCCAGGGATGCCAAAAGATTGGACACTGGATTCCATCCAGTATGACTTTTCAGATACCTAAGAAGATTTTGCTACACTCATTACAATGGTAGTTTTCCCACAGTGTAATTCTCTGAAGTAGGTTCAAAATGCTGCAGAAAGTCACTGTACATTCATTTATACAGTTGCTTTTTCTCCTACAAGAGTATTAAAATGTAAGCATTGCATTGTAAATGAAGGCATTCCAAAATCATTGTTTGTATCACTTTGCTTAATTGGAGATTGCTCCAAAATAAACGTTCTCAATGTTGGCTGCACTAAACAAAAACTAGAGCACAAAGATTTGATGTAGTCAGGGGTTGGCCAAGTTTTTCTGTAAAGGGCTAGACAGTAAATGTTTAGCCTTTATGGCAGTATATTAAACTCTTCAGTTGTAGAGGTAAGGAGCCATAGACTATGTAAATGAAATACCTGGCCCATGGGCTGTAGCTTGATGACCTCTAACATAGTTCATGAGGTGCATCCCCAGAGTAAACAGTAGGAAGGAGAGTAGATGTGGAGCAGATAATGGGAGAAATCCAGTATACCCTTAAATAAATAAATAAATGAGTTTTTCATATCCTAATATTGCTGACAGTGTAACTTGATTTTTATCCTGATACAAACCATTGCTGCCTGAGAAAACCAAATCAGGTATTACATACCCAGATATAATAAGGCATGCTGCTTGTATTTGACTGTACACTATTGTAAGATAAATCAGCCCCTCCTAAACAACTCTTACAGAAAGTTGAGAAGCTTCTAAATGTATGTACCAATATGGCATGCCAATGGCAGGTTTGAAGAAATATACTTCCAATAATGTATTTAGAACTCTAGTTCATATAAATAAGGTGTTTTAGGCCGGGCGCGGTGGCTCAAGCCTGTAATCCCAGCACTTTGGGAGGCTGAGACGGGCGGATCACGAGGTCAGGAGATCGAGACCATCCTGGCTAACCCGGTGAAACCCCGTCTCTACTAAAAAATACAAAAAACTAGCCGGGCGAGGTGGCGGGCGCCTGTAGTCCCAGCTACTCGGGAGGCTGAGGCAGGAGAATGGTGTAAACCCGGGAGGCGGAGCTTGCAGTGAGCTGAGATCCGGCCACTGCACTCCAGCCTGGGCGACAGAGTGAGACTCCGTCTCAAAAAAATAAATAAATAAATAAATAAATAAGGTGTTTTTGGGCTAAAACTTTTATAAATTTCAGATCTTACAAAACTACTTGTATTTAATAACACCTACAAATGTGCCCTCAATGCAGCCATTAATGCTAAATTCATTCCTATTCATATTCTCTCTCTTTCTACAAAATAAAATTGCTTACCTTCCTCATTAAAGCAAACTCACCCTGATGGTGTGAGCTTTGCCAGCTGGGCAGCTGATAATGCCAGAACAGTTTTAAATACATGCTTACAAAAGAATGGTTTTACTGTACATGGAACAAAACAGGAAGAGTACCTTGGTAATTTTCTGTGATGTATCTTATTTATACTTATTTCACACTGAATAACAACTGTCTATACTCAGATTCAAGGATAACTGTCAGTTAGCATTACCTTAAATCCAAACTCGGTCTGAAAGTTAAAACCGTAAAACACCTAAAAACACTTCTAGTTATGTTTGTATGTTTCAACAAAAAAAACACTACTCTTTTTTTTTTTATGTCAATATTGTAGTTACACTTTTGGAATCACATGCTGTGGGAAAAAAATCAGCAAGTAGAAGGTTTATAATAAACCAAAAGATTTATTTATAACATTTTCTGAATTCACTTAAAAAACAAAAAGCAATCCCCCTTCCCTCAAAATAGAACCCTTTCTCACAGATTCCATCCAGTATGATTTTTCAGATATCTAAGATAATTTTGCTACACTCCTTACAATGGTAGTTTTCCCACAGTGTAGTTCTCTGATATAGGTTTGAAATATTGCAGAAAGTTACTCTACATTCTTTTATACAGTTGCTTTTTCTCTTACGAGAGTATTAAAATGTAAGTATTGCATTGTAAATGAAGGCATTCCCGAATCACTGTATTTGTATCACTTAAACATGAATATCCTCATCTCCAAAGTACATCTTTGTAAAGCTCATCCCTTGCCCATGCATTGTGTCCTGGTTGACAGCTGCAGAATGAGGGTTAATAATCTCTGGCTTTCTCCAATCTATTGGATATGTATTCTTTCTTGGTAGGAATTTACACATGTAGAGTAAGGGAATCCTACCAAATGAAGTCTTCTCAATATTTCCAGATGGAAGAAGAATCTTCTCAACAATATCGATTTTACCTTGTTATTGGGGAAAAAAAAAAGAGTGGTTATTAATGGCTTTTCCACATATTTCTGGGTTTTTTTCCTCCAGGATGTTGAATAAATTGTGGGCCATATTACTTCACATTCATCACTCTCACATAAGGCTTCTTTCCAAGAGTTCTCCGAAGTAAAAGTAAGGCATTATAGTACTTTAAAAAAAATTTCATACATTCGTAGTTTTTCTTTGCAGTGTAATTCACTGGTGTTCAGTAAGGAATGAGTGGTAATTAAATGAATTTTCATATTCATAGGGGTTGTCAAGAGTGTGTGTTCTCTGATGTTTAGCGAGATTTGAGCTCCAGCTGAAGGATTTGTTGCATACCTTACATACATAGGGTTTCTCTCCAGTATGAGTTCTCTGATGTAGAATGAGGGAAAAGCTCCGGCTGAAGGCTTTATCACACTCAGCGCATGCATAGGGTTTCTCTCCAGTATGAATCTTCATATGTTGAATAAGGGATGCATGCCAAGTGAAAACTTTACCACATTCATCACATTCATAGAGCTTTTCTCCAGCATGAATTCTCTGATGTTTAGTAAGGAATGAGTGACAACGGAAAGCTTTCCTACATTCATTACATTCATATGGGGTTTTGGTTGTATGGATGCTTTGATGTCGAGTAAGGTGTGAGAAACGGCGAAATGCCTTCCCACATTCAATGCATTCATAAGGTTTCTCTCCAGTATGTGTAATCTGGTGGCGAATGAGTTCTGAGCCACTGCTAAATGCTTTCCCACATTTCCTACATATATATTGTTTCTTTCCTATATGAATTCTCTGATGTCGAGTGAGGTTGGAGGCACGGCTAAAGGCCTTTCCACACTCAGTACATTCATAAGGTTTCTCCCCAGTGTGCGTTCTCTGGTGTTCAATAAGAAATGAAAGGTAACTGAATGTTTTATTACAATCCTTACACTCATGGGGTTTCTTTCCAGTATGTATCATTTGATGTTTCACAAGGTTTGAAATCTGGCTAAAGGTTTTGCCACATTCCTTACATGCATATGGTTTCTCTCCAGTATGAGTCCTCTGGTGTAACACCAGGGAAAAGCGTCGACCAAAAGTTTTTCCACACTCGTGGCATCCATAGGGCCTCTCCACAGTACTGATATTCATACGTTGAGCCAGGGCTTCTTGAGAGACTGTTACTTTCCTAATACATCCCTTATTTTCTTGCAGCATCTCTGTATGATCCTTGCATTTCCAGCCTCCTTTAAAACTGGAATACACAGGGCCTTGACTTAGAATTCTTTCCATGATCAAATACTGGGATGAGTCATCATAAATGACATTTTTTGGTGAAAAGTCTTTGATCTCACCACTTGATTCTGAAACTGAAAGATACCAAAAAGAAGTGAATGTTTTTCCTGTATTGAATAAAATAAGGCCATTTCTCCCTTCTTTAGCAACAGAATGAAGTTTTTAAAAATCATATCAGTAACAGCTTTCACAGCTGTGACTGAAATCTTGAGTAGTATGCCCAGAACTTAAGAAAAGATCAAATAGAGATAGAGATATAGGTAAATAAGGAGAAAGAGTAAATATAAGTAATTGAAAGAGCAGGGAAAATAGAGCTATCAAAAAGATAAGTATTTGTGAAGAACAGGTTGCTAGTCGTCTTCACTACCATTTAAATGGTACTTACTGCCAGAATTATCTAAAAATGGCAATTTCATAATGCTGCTAACTACACACTGCAAGTGTTCATCAGATTGCACAAAGACGTTAGATTCTGTTCATTTAGTGCCTTTGGAACATCTCACAATAACTTACTCTAAATGAAAAAAAAAAAAGCAGTTTCTCTGAAAACTAGCCTATGATCCTCACTCTACCCTCTGAACTATTATGAAGCTCATATTTGATACAGTTATGTCTTTTCTGGGACCTATTTGAGGTGGAAGGTGGGAGGAGGGTAAGGATTAAAAACCTGACTATCGGGCATTATGCTGATTACCTGGGTGACAAAATTATCTGTACGCCAAACCCCCACGACACACCATTTACTCGTGTAACATGAGTAACCTTTAACCTAACATGAAAGTTGGAAAGAAAAATACGGTGTCTTAATATCAAATGTGTTTGGCAAACATAAGCCCTAATTTTCTCCATGCTAAATTTTAACAATGGACTTCATCAGTTTTAAATAGGAACAGAATTTTGAAATAATATGAAATGTCTCCTTAAAAATACATTCATACTCTTGGCCAGGCGCAGTGGTTCACACCTGTAATCTCAGTACTTTGGGAGGCCAAGGCAGGCGGATCACGAGGTCAGGAGATTGAGATCAGCCTGGCTAACACGGAGAAACCCTGTCTCTACTAAGAATACAAAACATTGTCGGGCACGGTGACTCACGCCTGTAATTCCAGTACTTTGGGAGGCCGAGACAGGCGGATCACGACGTCAGGAGATCAAGACCATCCTGGCTAACACAGTGAAACCCTGTCTCTATGAAAAATACAAAAAAATTAACTGGGAGTAGTGGCAGGCGCCTGTAGTCCCAACTACTCAGGAGGCTGAGGCAGGAGAATGGCGTGAACTCAGGAGGCGGAGCTTGCAGTGAGCCAAGATCGCGCCACTGCACTCCAGCCTGGGTGACTGAGTGAGACTCTGTCTCAAAAAAAAAGAAAAATACAAAAAATTAGCCGGGCATGGTGGCATGCACCTATAGTCCCAAGTACTCAGGAGGCTGAGGCAAGAGAATCGCTTGAGCCTTGGAGGTAGAGGTTGCGGTGAGCCAAGACTGTGCCACTGCACTCCAGCCTGAGTGACAGAGCGAGACTCCGTCTCAAAAAAAAAATTCATATCTTTAGGAAACCTACACTTAAGTGTATAGCGGTAAAAGGCTAATATATAATATATAAAACTTATTCTCAAATGTTTCAGAAAAATCATACGTCAAATGATAAGGCAAATGAGTATAAGCAAAGATGAATCTGGGCATTCTTTGTACTAACAACTTTTACATAAGTTTAAAATTCCCAGTAACATCTAAAAATGTATTTTTCATTTCAGTCAAATGTACATTGACACTTTGGGAAAAATGTTATCTGTTATCACTCTCACTGTAAGCTTTTAAGGAAAAGTAGAATGTACATTTCTTTCATGAAGTATTTAATTCATATCTCAACAATGGATCAAGATCTGTACCTATACAGTAGGTACACAAGATACATGAAAGATTAAGATAGGGGAGGCAGTGAGACAGCTATTAAAATAATTATGTCAATACAGATAAAACTTTAAATTCCTTTCTTGCCTCTTCTTTAAACCAACTCTGTATCTACTGAGTACCTAAATAAGAGCCCTGTAGATGTAAAGTGAGGAACTGAGGATAGAAATAGGGAAAGAGAACACAGAAGAAAATATTGATATAAGACACGAGAACAAGTTCATTATACTTAGGGTAAAAATTGTATCAAAGACCAGAGATCAGATGTAAGAACCCACTGCAGTAGATAAAGGCTTCATCTAGCAGTGCTTCAAGGAAATTTGTTGGGAACTGAAATATACTAAGTGAACCTGGACATTTAAAAAAAAAATAGAAAAAGCTGTTGGGGTCGGGTGTGGCTCCTGCCTGTAATCTGAACACTTTGGGAGGCTGAGGCTGGAGGATCACTTGTGTCCTGGAGTTTGAGACCAGCCTGAACAACACAGTGACAAAGTGAGACCTGTGTCTTTACCAAAAAAAAAAAAACAAAACTTAAGCATAGTAGTGTGCATCCGTACTTCTAGCTACTTGGCAGAGTAACGTGGAAGGACTGCTTGAACCCAGGAATTCAGGCAACAGAATGTCACCCTGTCTTTAAAAAAAAGGGGGGGGTTGTTGGACAGGTATGATGTTATCATTAGATATGAAGAATAAGCTCAAGTGTTCTCTTGCATGGTAGGGCGATTATAGTTAATAAGTATCTTTCAAAATAGAAGAGAAGTTTTTAATGCTCTTGTCACATAGAAATGATACACGTTTGAGATAATGGATTTGCTAACTAACTTTATATGATCATTATACAATGTATACATGTATTGAAACATCACATTGTACTTCATAAACATGTACAGTGATTGTCAATTAAAAAGAAAAAATGGGGTTAATTCCACAGATTTAGTGTATTTGCCATATGATTTCTCACGAGAGTAAAAAAACACAATCAAGAAAACAATGTTGAAGATATAAAAGTAGAATGCTAATTACATGTCCCTTCACCCACTTCCCTTCCTCAATCACCTCACCTCTTCCCATCTCCTACTATACCTCCATACTCTTTTTTTTTTTTTTTTTGAGACGGAGTCTCGCTCTGTCGCCCAGGCCGGAGTGCAGTGGCCGGATCTCAGCTCACTGCAAGCTCCGCCTCCCGGGTTCACGCCATTCTCCTGCCTCAGCCTCCCGAGTAGCTGGGACCACAGGCGCCGCCACCGCGCCCGGCTAGTTTTTTTGTATTTTTTTTGGTAGAGACGGGGTTTCACTGCATTAGTCAGGATGGTCTCGATCTTCTGACCTCGTGATCCACCCATCTCGGCCTCCCACAGTGCTGGGATTACAGGCTTGAGCCACCGCGCCCGGCCTCCATACTCTTTTTAATAGATGCCAAATGGATTTGAGGAAATTCAGTGCTTATTAAAAGCCTATAGATACAAGGTTTCTTTTTATCATTTTTTTTTTAAGAAACAGAGTCTCAGCCGGGCGCAGTGGCTCACGCCTGTAATCCCAGCACTTTGGGAGGCCGAGGTGGGCAGATCACTGGCTAACATGGTGAAACATGTTTAGTAGAGACGGTGAAACCCCGTCTCTACTAAAAAATATAGAAAGTTAGCCGGTCGAGGTGGTGGGCACCTGTAGTCCCAGCTACTCGGGAGGCTGAGGCAGGAGAATGGCGTGAACCCGGGAGGCGGAGCTTGCAGTGAGCCAAGATCGTGCCACTGCACTCCAGCCTGGGGGACAGAGGGAGACTCTGTCTCAAAAAAAAAAAAAGAAACAGAGTCTCGCTCTGTCACCCATACTGGAGTCCAGTGACAATCTTGGCTCACTGCAGCCGCTGCCTCCCAGGTTCAAGGGATTCTGCCTCAGCCTCCCGAGTAGCTGGGACTACAGGCACACACTGCTACGCCTGGCTAATGGTTTGATTGATTCATTGATTTCTGTATCTTAGTAGAGACAGGGTTTCACCGTGTTGCCCAGGCTGGTCTCGAACTGCTAAGCTCAGGCAATCTGGCCGCCTCAGCCTCCCAAAGAGCTAGGATTACAGGCATGAGCCACCAAGGTTTCATTCTTGATGTAATAAAGGATTCATTTGATAAACCAGCAAGTAATATACTCAAAGGAAATTTTTTAGATGTATTCACTCTTTTCTTGGGAAAACGGCCCAATATCTTCTGTCACCAACGTTATTTAAGATCAATACAGGAAGAAGGAAATTACGGAGAATGGTGACAGGGAGACTTGCAGTTTCCAGTCTGACTTACAAGGATCGTAGAAGTCACTACTCTGTCCTAACAAGTGAAAAGTTGAACAAACTAAACTCTTGTAAGATCCCTCAGAGAAGTGCAGTAACAGGGCAAACAACTGCCCCCAAAATGAGACAGGAAGATACGGTGAGTGACAACTCACCAGAAGAGAAACCCACAAGCAGAAACCTCTGCAGGAACCAGTGCTGGGATAGGAGAACTTGCACTGTAATTGATGAATAGCTGGAAGCTCAGTGTGGACAAGTCTGTGGTTCAAAACTCTAGTCTTGGGTGTCCCTAGGGTTCTGTGAGTTTTACCTTCAGGAGCTCTATCCTGTTTTCAGAGTGAGTACTGGAGAAAACTTCCCCTGTGTTTTTGGAAGGGCTAAGATAAAAATAGCCATTTTTAAAAATAGACCAGGGTATTCCATTCTTAACAAGGCCTGCCCTCAGGAGAAAATATTTTACCAGAGCCTAACCTACCCTTGGGAAAGGAAATACCAAACTCTAGCCAGCTCTAGCCTTCCACTAAGGGAAAGGGAAATATCCTACGCCAGCCCCTTCTAGCCATCCTGTCCCACATAAGGTGGAAAAAAAAAAAGAACTAATTAAGTTCTTAGTCCAGAAGCACAGGCTTACCATAATTTTAAGATTACAAAATGCTTCTCTTCCCCCAACACCTTACCACTACATTACGAAAGGCAGTTTCTTTTACTCAGTACATCATGTCCACCCTTCAACATAAAATTATGAGGTGTATTAAATGGCGCAAAAAAAAAAAAGTTTGAACAGACTGAATAAGCATCAGAATCTGAGAAAGATATGATAGGGATGTTGGAATTATCAGTCCAGGAATTTAAGAAACTATGATTAATACGCTAACAGTTTT